ATTTACCCTGTCTCCCCTGTTATGCTGTAAACACCGTGAGGGAGAGATTTCCTTGTTCACCACTGGGTTCCTACTGCTTAGAATAGTGCTTGGCACGTGGCAAGTGGTAGATAAACATTGGAATGAGTAGATGAATGGGTAGATAAACAAATGATAGAAAGGTCAGTCTCAGGGTGAGTGATGAGTGAATGCATTTACTGAGAAGTTAGGAAATGACTACATAAGCTCAGATGGAGATACAACCCCTGTCGGAGTGAGAATGTCAGGAAAAATCAGAAAGGTTATCGAGCTCAGTGATAAAATCAGGGAGGCATTAAGGAAACAGCACGAGCCATACAAGGCTGGGAAGCTGGAAGATGCAAGGTGGCTTGATGAGAGCAAGGTGACCCGAGCAGCTCACTGACTGCCCTTCCTCTCTCTTCCCAGCGCTCCTCATTCAAGGTGGAGACTCCACTCTCAAACCAGTTCTCAGTGCCTCCACACTTGTCCCTGTCCCTAGATCCTGGTTTCTGGGTGTAGTGTTTTAAGTGCCCTAATGTTGTGACATGCTGGCCCAGGGCCTTTGGATTTTCCAGCCAGTAGATCCTGAGTCAAACCAGTAACTACTTCTTTTGGAACTTTTTAAAAAGGTTTTTGCCTTAGGGTGTGTGTGCTCACCAGAGAGAGAGAAAGAGACAGAGACAGTGAGAGGGGAAGCAAGAATTCACCCCTCAGGGGGGATGGCTATGCAGTAGTCCCTTCTCCACCACTCTCCTCTGGGGAACTTGGGTATGCACGCACATACACCCAGCATGAGTTTAAAGCTACTGGGTCCAGGATTCTAACTGCAGTCAACCATGTGGGAGTCCAGCAGCATAACTGCCATGCCATCTTCTAGCCCCTCTTTTTCTTTATAGATCACTCAGTCCACGTATTTCTGATAAAAACACAATAGTGGGTTAAAATAAATTCTTAGGTTCCTCATCTGCAAAACAGAAATAAGAGCACTATCCTCCCTGGGTTGCTGTGGTGGCAAGGACTGTATGCGAAGTGCTTATTGGCGCAGTACAGGGACACAGCTTGTACTCAGTAAATGGCAGGTAGCATTACTCACCAAGTGCCCTCGCCTGCCAGCTCTCTCCTGTCCCACTTCTAGGCACTACTTAGGTGTGCAACACGGACTCTGCAGGTCTGTTATCACATCCCTTATGTTCTTAAATCTCCAGGGGAGCCAGCAGGTGGCATAGTGGTTGGGGTGCTGGGCTCCCACATGGCCACCGCGGTTCCAGTCCTGGACTCAAAAGCTTGCTTTCTCACATTTCTCTCTCTCTCATGAGCACACATGCCATATAGTAAATTTAAAAAATAATTAAAACAACTTTTTTTAATTCTCCATGGGAATCCTCAGGGGTGAGGCTCTCTTTCCAGTCCTGTAATCCACAAGACACCCGCATGGTGTCCTGGAAATATCCTGGAAGGCACACCGCGTAGCAGTTGCTTACGAGGAAACGTCCTAAGTGTTGAGGGATGTCAAAGGGGCCTCTGGTTCTGCTGGCAGCTCCATTCTGCAAGCCATTTCCACTCTCTCACCGTCCGGTCCTCTGAGGACTGTGGGAACATACCAGACTGACTCCATTTTGTGAAAACAGACTCCATCTTAGGCCCTCTACTCTTTCGCTACACTCTAAGCTTTACTAGCTTGGAAGAGGAATTTCTACTTACATTAAACCCTCCGCAAATTTTTATCAGAGGTGGTCGCTCAGAGCCTTTAACTAGGATCAGGATTCCTAGAACTGGTCTGCAACTCACTGGTGCCACCGGCCTCTGGGAAAGGAAAAACTAACCATCTTTGACGCGGGGGCAGTCATGTCTCCTGTCAGGTCACTTGCTCCCCCAACCTGGGCTTGGGTACTGAAGTTTCTGCAGGTGATTGACTCTCCCCGCTAGTTTTTTTCAGCCTGTCCACTGTACCCTATAAAAGGTTCCAGCTCACTGTGGGAAGAGGCGAGGTCTGCAGCTGTGTGTGTGAGGGATCAAGCTCAGTGGATCCCTGTTTCTGCGGGCTACCTCTGAAATTAAACATCTGGGGGACGAGCAGTTGGCATAATGGCTATGTCACTGGACTCCCATGTAGTTGACTGTGG